ACCCCTTTAAACTGGCAAAGTTTCATTGAAATCGGTGAGATGGCTTGTGCCACCCCCGCCTGGTCCTATCGTGGATGCACTCTTAAATGTTAGTTACATGACACACAAGTACATTTAACTTGAACTGAATATTTCAGCTGAAAAAAACAATCACTAAACTTATGTGATGAGAAATGTTTTCTATTAAATAACGAAAACATGCAATAAATAGAATTTAGTCCTTTTATTCTTGTATGAATATAGTACACTGAAATTTGACACCGGTAGTTGAAAATAAATTGAATTTTTTTTTTTTTTACATTTTAAAGTGCAGTATATACAAAGTGGAAAAAAAATGAGGCTTTCTATTAGCAGTGATGCATCCTGGGAGGTTTGGAGTTGAAACATTAAAGGGTAAATCCACACTGAATCACAGAAGAATAAAAAAACTGCTGCTGCTGCTGTATAGGCGACACCCCAATCAGTGACTCTACAGCGGCTTCCTTAATGCTGCAAACTGAGATACCGGATTTTCCAATTTTCAGTTAGGAAAAATCTAAGAAAACGCAGACACATGTTTGGTAAGGTCTATCACACTTAACTTCACAAACTTACATTATTCTCCAAAACAGCAGCCGACACAGTCAACTGTCAGTAAACACAGCTTCTCTACTTTAAATGAGCTTAAAGTCTACATATCTAAAACAACTGTCCAGTCCTTCTGTTGCTTTAGTTAAGTGAACTACATTTCTGTTGATTATCATTTATTGTGTGTAAAAACAAGCAAAACCTGGATAGTTTTTTCCCCACTTTGTGCATAGAATATGTGAAAATAATGTTGAGGTTCGACTCCCGACTTTTGAGGTACACTGAACGCAGCATAAACACCTGCTGTGATGTCACTGACTGAGGTGTGCCAGAAAAGTTTCACTCAGGTTGCAGTCAGATAGTCAAAAAAAAAAAGTGACATCCAAAAAAATTTCAGTGGAAAACTTTATGAAGCCAAAGAAATAGAATTCATGAGGATGCAGAAAAAGACAAGCGTGGTGCTAAGAGACTCCCACTGCCCTTACTGTAGGACACAATCATATGAGGATGGATGTTGTTGACGTGGATCTGCCGCAGATGAAGCTTTGGAATCGTGGGACGACTGTTAAGGGTGGTAAAGTGTATGATGTGATAAAGGAGATAAGAATGGAAGCAGTGCAGCAGCTTTCTTTATCATTTAGAAAATCTGACCAGCAGTGACATGGTTGTCTTTCGCTGAGTCTAACGAAGCAAAAATACTATCTGACCACAACTGCAGCACTTAAAAAAGCAGCAGAACAGCCGTTTTTCACTCCATGAGAAGATTTAATCATTTCATCAATACAAGTGGGAAGCGCTTACTTTAATCTGAACAACGGCAACTCTAAACAAATAATCGCACATTTCCAGTTAAAAACAATTTACGTCATTACTATGTTAAGTTTGGTTCCTCCTACGAGCTACCATTTTTGTGATTCAAGTCAGTTTTAACCAATCATGATCCTGGTGTTAAAAATCTCATTCAGCAACTGAGTAAACATTGGTGAGAAGTGCACGCCCTCTGACGTGGCCATGCTGTGCTTAGCTGCAGAAGATTTCACTGCTCCATGTCATTATCATTCTGCAGAGTTTTCATTGCCAGGCCCCACAGAGTCACACTGGAGATAAACTGACCTTCACTGGATCTATACGGTCTACCGGACCCTGTGAGGGTGCTGCAGTGATTGTCTGTTGGGGGCAGGTAAGGCCTTGCAACCAGGCCTCTGCCCATGTCCACTGACATATTCCCATTCTCCACGTATGGACCATACACAGCCTCCTGAGACAGGTGGGGTTTGTTCAGCTTCAAGCGGTCTGTGGCGGGTGGGGCTGCACTTCTGTCCTGGTGGTTGGATGACAAGAGGTGATGGGGAACCAGGGAGCGCAGCTCTGGAAGAGGGGTGGATGCAGAGCTGAGGTGCATACTGGAAGGTGGAGTCTCTATGTGTGGCGCTTCTTGTGGTGATGAAGGAGTAGGTGAAGAAGGTTTTTCGAAGCCTGCGTGGGGCATCAGAGTGGAGAAATGCTGCTCAGTGGTAGCAGCAGGAGGTTTACTGTGGCTGACAGGTTCGGGGAATGAGGCCACTCCTTCTGAACCATGTGTTTGCTCAGAGTTGACGGTGACCGGGCTGTTGACTGGAGGCCCTTTGCAGTGCATGTTGCTATGTCTCCTCAACATGGCAGAACGAGTAAAGCTCTTTCCGCAAGTCGTACAAACGTAGGGTTTCTCACCAGTGTGCGATCGTATGTGACGCTGCAGGTCTCCTGAGCCGATGAAACACTTTCCTACACACAAAAAACTTGAATGTAAAACACTGTGTCTACAGTCCAAACTGACTTAAAAACATATAGTTCTATGGAAAAACAAGGTTTTACAGCCTGACAGGATGAGTTCACAACAAACATTTCTATGACTGTGGTTTTGTTCACCAGATGATCTTTATAATAACAATTATTGAGCGTATAGCAGGAAAAAGTGCATTTAATAGGAGTGTAACTGTTTATACACAATGCATTACATGGGCAGCATGTTAGCAGACAGCTGCAGCTCCATCTGTGTCTACACAGGATGTACTCTGTAGGTCACCCACACTTTGACAGAGCTCACAGCCCAACACATCATGGCTGTAATTACACATGTAAAACACTAGAAATACACTTGAGGTATAAATATTCACTTCAGGTCGCTTTGATGGGAGGACAGCAGGAATACAATGGAAGTGGTGAGGCCACCTGTGTGGACAGCTGGACTGGCTTTGAAAATAGGAACGGCTGTATTCTGTCAGAAGTGCATGAGAGGAACGACTGAAAAATATGCATGGAGTTGTTTCTGTGGGCCCTAAAGCCGAAGCATTAAACCTTCATAGACTGACGTCACGCTTGAATGTGTGAACTTGTGAGGGTTTGAAATGATATTTTTAAAAAAAAGAAGAAATCTTAAACACTATTGTGACAGAACACAATGCTTGGAAACACTAGTTAATCACACTGCTTTAAATGCCAAGTTTAACAAAATGAACTAAAAGCAAATTGTTTTCCAAAAATTAAAAACACTACAATTCTCGCTACACCAGTTCAGGCACGCAAAAGCTGCATATTGTCAATAAAAATTGCTCTGAATCCAGTAACATATTTCTAATTAAAAATTCAAATCCACACTGCAATTTCAGCATTAAAAATTGCACAAAGAAATGCTGCTTTTCTCTCTTCTTCACACAGCCATCTTGGTTGGTAAAATTGGAATGTATTGTACAAAAGCGAGTGGGGACTTGGTTTTTATACGCAGCGTAAGCTTCATATGGTGGTAGTCAATTGACCTGTACAGCGTGGGTTGAGAAGTTGCAGATTCTTGCTGCAGGAAGACTGATTCAAACTCAAACTCAACTTAACACATCGTTCATGTTAAATTTGATTGACACAGTTTCAGGGCTAACTCTGCTAGTATGATATAGTTGAAGGACCGAAACTGGTGCTCTGCTAAATGTTGCATGCTCTAGAACTGTTGTTATAGAAGAGCAAGAATGTAAACCTTAACAGATTTCTAATTATTCGACTCACAGGATGCACTGCACCAAGGAAACGTCAAAAGGAACTGTACGTCACATTTGGAGTGGTTAGAGATGAATGCACAAATGATCAAAAGCTGCAGAGATTAAAGGCAGATTCTTGCTAATATAGATTTCTCATTGGTAAAAAATTCCTAAAACTTATTTCATGTCTCGAGACAGACTGCTTCTTACCGCAAGTGGCACAGCTGTGTGGTTTCTCCCCAGCATGTCGAGCTTTGTGCTTCAGAAGCTTTCTGTGAGTGTTGAAGGACTTTCCACACTGGTCACAGGTGAAGGTTTTGTCTGTTGCGTGAGTCCTCTTGTGCTCCTTGAGATTGCTCAAGTTGTTAAATCCTAAGAAACAAAGATGACACACAATGTGCAATTTTTCACTAAAGCTCGCTTAAGCAACGACGGAGCATCAGCAGAGGGTTACTTGAACAATCACACCATGTTCAACGTGATGTCTTATCCCAGACGTTCATTCCGCAAAATTTGCTAATTAAATGATCCTGAAGAAACACTCTCTCATCTTGCTTGTACTACTGTGTATGTACAGCAAAATGACAATAAACTTGATTTGATTTGATTACAAGTTCAGAGATAGAGGCAGTTTAATAAGGAAGTAATGAAGACTACTGTCACATACCTCGACCACATATATCACACAGATGTGGCTTCTCTCCTGTGTGGACCACTTTGTGACGATGGACATCTCCTGATGCTGTAAAGCTGGAAAACACACATGGACCTTTAATTAAAAGGCAACTATAAGAGTCTTAGGAGTGTACACTATACTGAAAATATATAACATATTATTGAAACTGCCATGCTAAAATAATAGAGGATATATCTAGTGTCAATCAGTTTAACAATTACTACTGTATGGCTTCAATATGCAACTACAACTACTGGGGGGGAAAATAAGTAATTCCTTAAAAAAAAAAATTAGGAATATGAATATTGATGAACATGTGATAGAGGGGAGGTTTGTTACCTTTTGCCGCATAACTCACAGATGTACGGTTTCTCTCCAGAATGTCGCCGTAAATGTGTCTGTAAATTTCCAGCCTGTAAGAAAAAATCGATGAGACATCTCAAAATAATCTGACCATCCAAGAATAAAATTAGACATAATACAAATAATAACAATACACCAGAAAATACCTGTGAGAAGTTTCTCCCGCAAATGTTGCACTGAAAAGGCTTTTCACCTGCAACAGAAAATGGAGGTTTGTGTCTAACAACATGACAACTAATCCCGTGATTTACCTTAGATGTGTGCTTTAGGCGGTTAGAAGCAGGAAATACCAGTATGTGAGCGCTTGTGCAGCTCCAGGTTGCTCGGATGTTTGAAGATCTTCCCACACACCTCACAGCAATACTGCTTGTGTCCTGTTTGCTGTGGTGGGTCTGGTGTTGGCTTCAGAGTTTGCTCCTCTTGGTTAACAGGAGGAGGACTGGGAAGTTGTGCATCTGCTGCTGTCTCAGGAACCTCCTCCCTAACTGCAGAGCTGCCCTCAACGGGAGCTTCTGGAGCATCAGTCTGGACCACAGGCTCCCCTTGATGGCTCTCTTTAGGACAGCTGAGGACGGGTTCAATGACGGACTCAGTGCACATCTCCTCCAGAGCTTTCTGCGACCGGAGGTAGTTATATTTCTTCAGGTACACAGCCTTCTTTGGGCGTACAGGCTTGTTGAGCATGGAGTCTGCTGGGTCAGAGCTGGGAGTGTTTAAATTGTCTGAGGGTGTTAAAGAGGAGACAGGGTTCTTTTCCACTGCAATCGATGAGTTAGGCTGAACTGTGTTTCCTGAGTTCACAGGGGCGTTGTTGCCTCCCTGGCTCATCCCGAGCTGACAGTGCTGCTCCTCCACCACAACCAGAGGTCCAGGGCCTTGATTTGAGGCTGCACTGTTAGTCTGAATTGCACTTTGTTTGAAGTACTGCTTACTGTAGAAGTTACGGAGCTTGTATCCATGAACCAGCTGTTTTTCTACTGGTGCCTGAGAGCTGCTGGCAATGTCACAGTTTGAGCTGGGGTTAGACACAGAAACTGACATCCTTCTGGTGTGGTCCATGTCAGTGCTGAAGCCAGGCCTCTGAGATTCAGAGGGACAGTGAAGGTCAACATCATGAGGAAGACTGCTCCCCAAGAGGCAGTCGTGGTCTGAGCCCAGCATGCCTGGGAGAGAAAACGAAGGTATTTCCACTGGTGGAGGACAAGGCTTGAGGAAAGCATTGCACATGCTCTGAACATTTGGAACCTGCAAACACTGTGCAATGTCAAGAAGAGCTTGTACATTATCTTGGTTAACATCAAGATGGGAGGTATACATGTAGTCCAATATTTGGCCAATGCCACCGACATCCTGGATGACGAGGTTGAACACGTCATTCTTCTGACTTGGGGAATTTTGGAACAAAGACCTGGAAGGATCAGAGTCAAACAGTAAGTTGCTTTGAAACAGCTCAGTATGATTACTGGTGATAGCTAAGTGATAAGAATGGAAAACTGTCACTGGTGTGTTTCTACATTAGATATTCATTCATTCACTCAAGATGTAGGCACACAAATAAGCACACTGGATAACAATAAACAGAAATTACGCAAAAAACTTGAAAATGAATTTCAGTTTTTTAAACTAATAAAGCAACTAAAACGAGTTGGACCTACAAGAAGATGAAAACAAAAATCTTCATGAGTCTAGCTTTAAATTGTTCAACATGTTATTCCAGGTTGCAGGTGCACTGCTCCCCAAAAAGTAGACTTTGAAGCTCAGTAAAGCATAATCCAATTATTTAAGTGTGCTTGGCGAGGACCCACATTAAAAGACAGCAATGAAGAAATTTAAGAGGTTAAAAAACAGTACGAGCCTTATGAATAATTAATGCCTAACCTTTGCATACAGCACACAAAGATGAGTGTTACACTTATGGCCATTACTTATCTCAAAGCAGAGAGGTAAATAGTGTCCAAGGGCTTACAAGTCGCCGCTGATGCATGCATGTGTAAAATGTCACCAAAATCCAGTACTTAGTTAAAGGTTGCCTCATTTTTTATTTTATTTTTTTTGCATTGCAATGGGGAATTATTTATTGCTGTAAAAGAAACACGTTTTTGTTGTAGTTTAGACACCAGAGTGGACACATGGCTTTTAAAAGTTCATCCCAATTCCTACACATTTGTACTTCTTTCAATGTCTAGATGGCCACATTGTAGTACACAATGTTTTGGCTCTATGCTTACTGAATGAACTGAACAAAGCAGTCCTGAAGGCATTTGACAGCTCAATGTAAAGTATCTGTGCAGTACACAATTGTGTTGTCAGAATAAATATGTACATCATAACACATACAAAGGAGACAAGGTCATTCATATAAAGAGAGAAAAAAAAACAAGTCACCTGAAATAGGAGCTGAAAGCAGCCAGGACATTTTTGTGGGCTTTGAAGCAGACACCTTTGACCACCAGCATGCAGTCACAGAGCAGCCCCTGGATCCTCTGCTCCTGGAGCTGCTGCAGGAGGTAGGAGCTGTGGCTGGACAGGGTGTCCATGGTCACTCAGCTGCTTGGCTTCTTCATTAAAAAGGAAGGGGGACACGAACCAAAAGCAATAACTGTGTAAACGGAGCTATTGTTCATCCCTCTGGTCAGCTAGCCAGCAAGGGCCGGCAACATTTTTGAAATGACACTCTTCATATGTTTAATTCAACAAGCGCGCAGATTCCGGTGTGGCTGTGCTACGAGACCACCCATGCAAAAATTGGACGAAAACTGTTACGCGAACTCCAAAGCTATGCTAACCGACCGCAGCGGGCTAAGACGCGACTCGGTGCAGCACGAAATCCCTACAGAATGACACTTTCACCAGAGAATTAGCCCTAAGTATAGTTAATTCTGTCGCGTTAGCCACAAATCCACACCTACACTCAAGGAATCCACCTTTTATTTGGATGATGGGTCACTTTTCGACGGCGATAACATTGCATCACTTCCTGGTACGGCTTGTATTTCGAGCAGCCTAAACACGAAGAAGAAAAAAATATTGGGATACTTAGGAACAACGACTGCGCAATATATTTTAAATTGTCCAACTAGTGTAATTAGCTTACGTGCTGGACGTTACTTCGCAGCTTTTGTTATAACGAGCTTTGAACAAGAAACGCTTCCATTCTACTCGGAACCTTTCACTGGTTGCATTTTCACACGGTAAACTCATAATGTAACCCCCGTCAATTGACGTAGTCACGTGTGTTTTGAAAAGTTTATTAGAATGGAACAGAACAGGAGAATACTTGCATTTAAATGCGATTTTGAAGCAAAACGAATTTAACCGAGCAGCACACGGCATCTAGACGTTTAGATAAACCACCGACCGCTAGCTTTATTTGTTGCTTTTTTCTAGCTTTGGTGAAGTTAAGCTACGCTCATTTGGCTAACTCTAGCTCGTATCAGCGCTGCGAACAGTTGGGACTCGCTTTCGCGTGAGGATTAAACTGAATTTGGTTTTTACGCTGGTTGTGAGTTTAACGTACCGGTTCGGTTAAGTTACAGTTTCCGTTAGAGCCTAAGCAAGCAGACAACGCGGTAGAAATGGTCTTCTTCACCTGCAACGCCTGTGGTGAGTCACTGAAAAAAGCCCAGGTGGATAAACACGTGAACATGTGCCGGGGCTGCCAGGTCCTGTCCTGCATCGACTGTGGAAAAGACTTCTGGTAATTACTGACCGAGTCATTACTGTGTTCTCCTTTTTTGTTTTTGCTAACCAAATCCAACGTTGGCTAGATGCAACTAGCTGCTTACATGTGTATTAATGTTATTTTGTGTTTTACACAGGGGCAATGACTACAAAAACCACAATAAATGTATCAGTGAAGATCAGAAATATGGAGGCAAAGGATACGAGGCCAAGGCCAACAAAGGAGATGTGAAACAGCAGCAATGGATTCAGGTAAAATAGAAAGAAACCATATGTTTGTATGTGTATGAGCCAAGAAAGTGCTTTTCTTTCTAACTGTATGTTTCTGTTCCTGAAGAGAATCAACGAAGCCATGAACAAACCTGGAGTCAGTGCGAAGCTGAGAGATGTGCTGAGACAAGTCAGTGCCTATGATAACGTGCCGAGAAAGAAAGCCAAGTTTCAGGTTTGTATGGATTTTACTTTAACAGTTTTGTTGATCAGACAAACTGATAATCAGTTGCATCTTTCTGGTAATAGACAAATCAGACAAATCAAGTTTTTTCCCACAATTTCTTTAGATTTCAATTAATTGACAACGAAATTAATCATTAGTTGCAACACTACCTGGTAGTAGTTTTTGGTGTGTGGCTGTAGCGAAAATGAGGATAGGTGTGCATGAACTAATCAGTTTTTATATTTGTTTATTTCCTCAGAACTGGATGAGAAACAGTCTTAAAATAGCCAACACCAGTCTACACGATGAAGTGTGGGAGATAATTGCTGCTGCTGACAATGTAAGTTACGCTGCTTAAGGTTGCTGTTGTTTGTCTGAGTGTTTCATGTGAATATTGATCTTAAAGCCCAGAACAGCCTTGTTTAGTTCCAAATGAATGAAATGTATTGCTCCTTTTTATGTTTTTCCCTATTTGTAATGAGTTGTGTCAAGGTAAGAATAAATTAGTTTACTATGTTTTCAACATCTAAAGTTACTTTTGTTGCCCACCTGTTATTGACAGGCCACCCAACAGACTCAACAATGTAAACCGTTAGAGGCAGGAGATGACCAAGCCACTAATGGAAATGAAAAACAGAATGGCCATCCAGATGTGGAGAAGAAGAAGCTGAACAAACGGGAGCGTAAAGAAGCTCGTCAGCAAAAGAATGGGAAAGCAACAAAAGGTGCAGAGACTGCAGTCACACAAGAGCCAGAGGAAGACCAGGCAGGCAAAAAGAAAAAAAAGGACAGGAAGAGAAAGGCCAGCTGTGACCACGATGAAGATGAAGAGCAGAGCGTGCACTGTACTGAAAGCAAGTTAAAAAAGCGTAAGTCACATTTCTCTGAGGGGCTACACATCCATTAATTCTAGTCACTTTAATCTGTAGAAGGTCATGGGGGGTCTGCTGACATTCAGCAAGAGGTGGGGTCCATCCTGGACAGTCCATCACAGGACTAACACAAAGAGGCAATAATGCACACTTACACTCACACCTGCAGCCAATGTAGAATCTCCTATTACCTGCATGTCTGTCAACTGTGGGAGGGAGACAGCACCTATAGAAAACCCATGCAGTTTTCTATGTTCTGTTTTCAAATCCATGTTTTCTCCCAGAGCAAACAAGATCTATTGTTTTTTTTTTTTTTTACAGTCAGTCTGTAATTATTTGTGAATGTATTGTTATTAGCAATGCTGTTACTTATGAATGCAGTTTTCAAACTTGTGTGTATGGAATGATCATTCTTCCTTTGCCGCTTCACAAAGTTTGTCAGGTCACCAAATGGAGGCTAATAGGATTTTGAGGAAAGGTTTAAATGACATCCACCTGTGTACATTTGATACTGTTTACAATTGCATTCCACTGTCCTCCTTTTGACCCATCAGTTTATTTGTTTTGGAAAGTGTTGCAATATGTATTTTAGGATTTACTAACTATGGAACTCTTTGATTGTCCTTTTTTCCAGTTGACGACACAGAGGATGCTGATATGTCAGAGGAGGCTGAGAATGAAGCTGTGTTCAAAGGTAAAATGGTTACTGACATGACATAGACTGATGTGTAACAGTAAATACATCATTGTGGTAAATGATAAAGCCACCAGAGGTCAGCGTTGTGACTTTTGTTAACAGTAAGGAAATGACAGATTTTTCTCTATAATGGAAGCTTAATTTATGTTTCTGATCAACTTACAGGTAAATTCAACTGGAAGGGAAACATCAAGGCAGTACTGAGAGATTGCCCAGACCAGGAACTGTCTGTGAAGAGACTCAGGAAGAAGGTGAGACATGAAGTGTTTTAAGTCAGTAGTTCTGTATTTGTCAAGCGGACATCTCGAACCCAGCATGTTGTTATTATAAATATTATTCCAAAACAGGACTTGTGTGTGGTTTAGCATGATGTTAGGAGCTTGTTCATCTTTTGCAGATATTGGCAGCCTACTACTCTTACACTGGTGATAGGAATACTAAAACGGAGACGGAGGTCCTTGCCCTTTTCAGCAAGAAGATCAACAGCAATCCCAAGTTCAGAGTTTTGAAAGACAGAGTTCGACTTGTAAAGTAGACTTGTTCATGTCCCCCTTTTGGCATGTAATGTTGTTCATAGGCTTTTGAAATGTAAAAGTCATCGTTGTCTGTCGTCTTTCCTTTTTTGTTTTTTACAGATGACATAATCTTAAAGATTAAACATTTTATGACTGCATTATGTGTCCTGTTCCTGCACAGTGGGCATGGCCAGCATGACTTTAACAAATTACCTTACAACATGTGAGTGTTGTTTAATGTATAAAATGACAATAGTGATAGATGGCTGCTCTGTTACACATTCCAAGCTCACGGTAAGGCTGGGAAATGGCACCTTATCTGTGGGATTGGATGTTAGAGTGGGGGAAGGGAAACAGGAGAGGTGCACCTGAGGTGAATTTGACTCTCACACGGGACGAAGCTAATGCACATTCCTCGGCACCCCGAACGGGGTTCACTTGGCCAGGGACACAGAAGCTCCATAGAAGCAAGACGCTTGGTGTCAGCCTCAGGTGAAGTTTTAATGCTGTCTGATTTTCCACGGCTAGAATGAGCAGTCTCTTTAACCTGTACAAACACACATACACGTGTGCGCGCGCACACACACACACACACACACAGGCAGGAGGAGCTACTGGAGGAAATCTGCCCAGCTTTATGAAGCTCTGCTAATCCCAGCGAGTTTAACACTGATGCTCATTCATCACGCTGCTTACCTGTAATTGTATATTGCATACTTTGGGTTTTAGTCAAGCTGTTACTCAAGTTTGCTGGTATTAAAATGATGTTTTCTAGTCCTGTGGGACTCAATAGTGCTTAATTCTTCAGTTTTAATCCAGATCCCACAGGATACTCAGACTAATCCTGTCTTTACTGTTGGAAAAACAAATCAGATCAACATTTTGTTTTTTCCATTAGATATCCCAGGATGAACTGTGTGGTCAGTAGTATGTCCTGCATTGGCATTAATAGCAGCTCTCTTATCTGAACAATGTTATTCACTTAATTTGGGTGTTAAACTGAGACTATAACAAATTATTTGTGTTTCAAAATTAACAGACTTGATAGACTGATTGTGTAACTATTCTGGCTTATTCATTATGGCGTCGCTGTCATGTGACTACTGCATTCAGCACAGTTCAGACTGTCGATTTAATTTAGTCATTCTGCAGAAAACATATATCACAACAGAGTTACATAAAATACGAAACAAGGCAAATAAACTAAATACACAAGAAAGTTCAGTAAAATGCACACAAATGTATAAAATATGACTGCTTGAGTGAAACAGCAAAAAAAATAACAAAAATATATAAAAGCATATAATATAATTGGAAACACATTAAAATTCAGTGACTAAAAGTGCAGACCAGTTTCATAAAAGCACAGGTAGTTTCGACTAGACTTGAAAATCTAGGACTAGGAAATAAAACTGATTAAATACAGTGGACACAAGATTTGGGGCAAACCTGAGTTCCAAATGGAGCTGGTTCCAGCAGCGGGCAGCATAATGACTAAATACCACTGGACCGTGTCTGGTTTGAACTCTGGGCTCCACTAACTGACCAGTCCCTGCACATCTGAGAGGTGTTCCAGGCTTCAGCAAACTAATCTCTGATTTATTTTGGTCTGAGGTAGGAAGCAAGTGTAGGGACCTAAGAAGTGGAATTATTAGTTCTCTCTTCTTCGTGTTTTTTCAGTGTTCTCGGAGCAGCATTTTGACTTCTAAATGTCTAATGGTCTTATTAGGTGGTCTAATAATAAATGCATTACAGTAGTCCACTCTGAAAGTAATAAAAGCGTGAGTACATTTAAAAAAGAAAAAAAGAAAATCTTGCTTGGCCACAGTTTCTCATGTTGTCTATGTTTTTAGGAAGCCAGAATGAGGATTTAGTTACAGCTCTGATGTAGCTGCTGAAATTTACATCCTTATCAATGATTCCACCGAGACTCTGAGAACGAAAGAACAACGCATGCTTATGGAAGCAAAACAACTACAAATGCAACCCTGTCACCTTTAAGTTTTCCCTAAGTGCTGGAACAATACATTACCCTCTTAATATATACAGCAGTATTTACATTGTAGTAACATTTCTCTCTAACAGCACTACAAACATTAAAAAAAATAAAAAGAACAAAACATTAAAAAAAATAAAAAGAACACAAAATTAAAGAACAAAACAAACAAAAAGACATAAACATTCTAACCTTAGTAAAAGTGGACTTTGTTGCAGGACTCCTACATTTGCAATAATTTTAGGTGTGCCTAACTACCTATCAAATACATGAATGTTGACAAAGGTGGGCAGTAGTCAGTGTTTTTTTGTTTTGTTTTGCTGACATACAGAATAGTGGTAGCAACCAACCATGAAGTATTCACTTTTCTTCTCTGTACAAGCCCTGTCTTTGCCTCATTGCAAGTTTTTAATTCAGGGAGTTCAGAAGCAGGACAGCAGTATCAGCAGTGTCAGATTCTTGCCAGCGCTATGTAAAGGTATACATTCAAGATGAGCTTTGGAATACAGCCAGCTACTATGCATTCTGCAAACTTTAGGAGGGACGGCAGCAAAGGTGCCCTGTTAGACTCTTTTTATGCAAATCCTGTCCTTAGTTACCCTAGAATTTTTTTAAAAATTGTTTTTATTTCCCATACCGAATGCATCATTTTGTCAAGATGGTCTTTATAGAGCACGTGCACAAAACATGCTTTCTCAGTTCTACTCTGTCAGTCCCACAAAGTTTGCTGCTGAATAGCCGCGTTTTGTATTCATACATGTCGATGAAAGAAAACCTTGTAGAACCATTTATTTGCACAGATAATGATGATTTTTCTATATTTTACTGCTTTAACTAAATGTAACTACTGACGCTAGGTATGATATATTGTTTTTGAACGTTTCACATAATGACTTTCTAATGTAAAAGCTTGTCTCTCCTCCACTCTTGTACCAGGAGGTCTGCTTGACCCTCAAGTCTTGGAGCGCATCAGAAGCCTTATCTCATCTCTTGAAGGCCCACACAAATAGATCTGTGGAGGCCTTGGAGTACCTTGTATGTGAAACAATTAGACAAAACCTTGTGTCCCTCTGCTGGGAAAGGTACAAGAGGCAAACTTCCCTGTAAGATTGAGTGCTAGTTTATACTTTTGGCTCTTGTTTTTGGAAGGAGTGAATTCAATATTTTCGCAGTAAGTAACTTTGATCAACACTTTTTTTTTTTTTTTTTGCAAATTTTCCACAACAGTAACAAAAATACATTAAAGTATGAGATTACTGAAAACATGTAATCTCTTTAATGCATAATAAGAAATAACATTTTATGAGGACATAGAGTCTTCTAGTTTGTTTTTGCATTTTACCTGATATATAAACTATTATTTCTGTCAAGAAAAAAAAGTGCTCAACCCTCCTATTATCTTTGGAGACCCCATTCAATGTTTAAAATCTCTAAATAATTCATTGACATGTTTTTTCAGTTTTACTGAAAGGGCTATTTACACATAAACTTAGGCAACAATTTTAATTGTGATATTTTCTGGAAGTTTAAATTGCCGGGGTCAAATTGAATCCAGGGATAATAGATGTCAGTAAATTTGAAGTTAGTAGGAGGATTAAATTTGTTCGTTTACTAGTCATACATTCCTTTTCTAAATCTGTGCCTTGACATTGGTTAAATTTCGTCAATACAAAAAACTACAATTGTCACTTGCAAGTGCGTCATAAAAAGGCGACTCGCTGTCAAACCGGAAGCGCCTTCTAATCAGCTTTTAGAGCTGATGTGAGTTAAAGGTAGCATCAACACAATGTTGAACGACAGTGAGCTGACAAATTTGCGGAATCGATTTAAGAAAGATGCGGAGTTTCTTATGCAAACAACGACGTCGGGTGACGAAGATGAAAAGAGTAAGCCTCAGAAAGATTATGTTGGCTAACGTTATTAGCTTATTTTAACTAGTTCTCTCACAGAACCGTGAACAGTGACCGGCACCGTTGTCGTTAAACACAGTTACCGTCACACAGCTCTGGTATGCTTCAGGTAAAATGGTGTCAAACGAGTACAAATTGTACTTATTTGACACTAGTACTGCTGCTAACCAGAGCAAATACTGTTGCTAGCGTTTGTCCACATGCTCGTTAGTCTTCAAACAACATGGCTTTTTCTATTCACAAAGCTGTAGCTAATTCAATGCTAGCGCTTTGAAACTACAGCAGAATCTTTGGAAATTGTGCCCATCATTTTTATTCTGATGCTGTCTTGTAGGCAGCTTGCACAGTGGACAATTGTCCAACTTTGAGGCCCTCACTGGCAGAAATCCAGCAATTCTTGATTGTTTTGACTGTGAACAACCGCTGTGTCAGCTCAGCAACATAATACAGGGAAACCCTATTCCTACACTGTTCCCAAGCCAAGGGTCATGTCATTGCCAGTGTAAACTGATAATTGTAATAAAACCAAACAGTTGTTCAGGTTTTTATTAATGGCATGTACACAATAATGCACACCATCAGTGATCATTGTGGCATGATGATTTCCTACAGTGCTGTATATGTTTTATAGAAGATGGACCAGCATGACATATGTTTGATTAAAGATGTAAGCCAGCTGCTTGTCAAGGGCGTCGAGTTCATTGTGAACTCTGCGCAGAGTAACCCAGCATGCCGGACAAATTCAGCAGCCAGCAACAGGCTCTGATACGTTTAATCAACCAGTAAATTATAGAGATTAATAGCTCTCTGAGAAGCAAGATTATCTCAAAGAAACCTATCAGTTTCACCTCAAAAGCTGCTTAAATCTGAAAGGCGGGGATTTAGCACATTCTGTTAAGGCAAGACAAATCTCATATTTGGTTGTAAATTCTATACCATACTGTAACCCTTTCAGTGCCTCTTAGCCAGTATAGTTTTGAGTCATGCCATATGGTAGCGTTGCATCTAATTAATGGTTAAACACATGGAGTTACAGTTTGTAAGCACCTGAATGATCGTATAATAATAATTAAGAATGCTCTCAAAGTAGGCACATAAATGAAGACACTTATTCAAAAAACTGTCTTCCTTTTTTAATTTACCTTTTAGGTCAGGAGGAAAAAGATGCCAAACCAGCTTCTCGCTTTGACAGACACACCGTTTTCTGGATTGTGGCATCTGTAGCTGTGACCTACTACTCGGACTTCTTCCACAACATCTTGGAAAATGATGATATCAAAGGGTAAATGAGCTACAATGTATGTTTTGTGTGGTAAACTTGGTAAAGCAGCTGTAAAGGTGTCAGTTCGGTATTCCATCATAAATGAACTACAGCGGCGTTTCAAAGTTTGCGAAGCCTTTAGAATTATTGATAAAAATGACATACACTGTCTGTGGGTGGCAAAAGTATGAAAACCTTTGCTTTCAGTATCATCTGCTAACCCCCTCTGTGGCACAGTAACTGCAACTACACGTTTCTGCTAACTTTGAACAGTCCTGCACATCTGCTTGTAGGAATTTTTATGTACGCAACAGCTTCAGCTCTGTGATGTCGGTGGGTTTCCTCACATGAACCGCTCCGTTCAGGTTCTTCCACAACATTTCAGTTAGATTAAGGTCATCACTCTGACTTGGCCTTTCGAAAACCTTAACTTTATTCTTCTTTAAACATTATTTGATTGAACAACTTGGATGACAACTGGGATGTTGTTTTGCTGCATGACTCACTTTCAAAGCACTCCTGGTGGGTGCCGAAAGTGGGTCATGCCTAGCCGCCCCCTCCAAAGCAGTCAACCTAGGGGAAGCGCTGTTTTGGAAAAGCCTTTGTTGTCATGAAAGGTGCCTGATCGTGGTTTAAAAAAAAAAAAAAAAAAAAAGCCTTTGTTGTCATGAAAGGTGCCTGATCGTGGTTTAAAAAAAAAAAAAAAAAAACGAGAGACAGAGAGAAAAGTATTTTTTTGTTTTCTTCTTTAGTGGTATTACTTGTATGATACTGATGAAGCCACTGGTATCTGATGCCGGTTATACTAGTTATGATCTCTTCTTGTGTATTTCCAACTCAGTTTCCTGTCTGTTTTCAATTCAATTCAAGTTCCTTCGATATACTGCCTTTGTTTGTAAATAATCCGCATTTTAATCTCTGTTTTTCCAGTTGGTGGTTCAATGTCGGTCTGATACTTCTTGCGATCAGCTTGTCTCTGGTCATGTTTTGCATTGTGTACCTGGACTGGTACAAAGGCATCCAGCACTATGACCAAGAGTACCCTGCTGTACCTCCCATCACTACTGCAGCCTTTATTGCAGCGTCATGCAGGTAAAACTTGAAAAGAATTTCTCTAATTTGCTGGCATCCCTATGGAATTGTAGTAACGGATACACTTTAGTGTGTTATTTCACTGCAGAAAGTACAGCAAGAGATTTATGTTCTAGGTAAAAAAAAAAAAAGATAAAAATAAATATGTCGCGTCTGTATATGTGCTTATTTGAACAATTATGTATTGTATATATTAACTCACTGGCTGTCCAATAATTAAAAAACCTGTATGTAATGCTCTGAACGAGGGCTGAACAATTTGAATTAAATTCACACATATCTATATTGTTTCAAATCATGCTTTTGATGTGAAATTGATTTTGCGATTAGCTCCACTCAGCACACATATTAGTTCTTTAAATAACACATTTAGGTGATTGTTTTAAAAATCAACATTTTTTGTGTGTTGCCATAAAAAATAGATGAACAACAGCACATGAAACTTTGTACCGGGGTGCAGTGTCTGAATTCTTGACAAATGTAATGTAGGACTTTAAGACAGATGATCAACGACATAAACATAACTTCACTGAGCTTTAAAGTAGGCTTTGACCGATTGATTTTTCTGATGATCACAATTGGCAATGAACTGATCTAGTTGGCAATTAAATTAAAACTCCGTTGCTTTGACCCTCACGCAGCTGTTTCCTCTGAATGGGTACAGCTTGTAGTCTGGCTGAGAGGATGACGTTCCCAAAGTAATGTGGATGTTGTTTGAGATTATTGTGATTAGCATTGCTGTCTTCTCATCTGTTTCCAAGATGGCAGAGTTTCAGTTAAAATGACGGCAAAACACAGTAAACTGGAATGAAGGTACACAAAAAAGTACTTCTACTAATACTGCCACGAATAGTGTGCAGTGTGTATAACATTTAGTGGTTTTATATGTTAAACCAGGGAAGCTTTTTAGCTTTAAAATCATATATTATTTATACTTTGGCAAATCCATCCATGTTCTGTGTATCAGTGAAGGTCAGGATGAACTCATCAGGTAAGAGTAATCTCTAAATGTTTCTGTATCTTAATGCAATGTGCGGTGGGACCTCTCCATGCAGCGGTTCATTGTATCACTACAGTGTGGGGTTGATGAAGGGTTGAGTCAGAAAGTAATCGTGACTGCTAAGTGCTTAAGTCATTAGGTAAAGGGATTTGAAATTGCCTGGTTTAGTTTGTGCATTACTCCAGAGCAACGCTGTTTATTTGATCTTATTATATTATTATTAAGTCTTAATGGGTACTTTAATTAACTCTTAACTTTCTCTGTCCTGCTGAATGGTGCCACTGATCGGGAGGGTGGCCAATGCAAAAATGTAAAAAAATATATAACTTTAAAACTATAAACTTAAAAAGAGATACTGCACAAGAAAGAGTGCCAAATTTTACATTTTTAAATGTGCGTGTAAGCTTTTCTGTGTATGTTTGCACTGATTTAATGCGCTTGTTTTTTTAGTAGGACTTGATTAAATTAAAAATTAACCATGAACAAACTCCCTCTCATTTTATAGCCTCTCACGTTCGTCCTTTCGAGCCACTGTGACGGCTTCATAGAGTAGGAAGCCCCCTCTGATGAATGAACTACGCTTGAATGTTTCTTATTTCTCCCGCAGCTTGAACATTGCCTTGTGGCCAGTGTGGTCCTTCTTCACTCCACTGATCCTCTTCACACAGTTCATGGGCGTGGTCATGTTAACGGTCATGTGTGGATGAATGCGACAGGTGGGGATCACGCCGTTTTACAAAACATCTTTTGATTGAATTAACAACATAATGATTGACTTGAAACTGTTGAAGATACACAGAACGGTGCAAAAGTGTTAAAGCGCTTCCAAAAGTTCTATGCAGTTTTAATTGTGAAGTGAAACATTGCTCAATATTGGTTAAATATTTAATCTCAGTGCTTCATACCTGTGGGTAATCTCAATTTAGCTTTCTGGGCTTCTGTTTTGCAGCCTCAAATTCATCTCCAATGTTTGGTAGTTTTCTCCATTGCTTACACACATTTCTTATGCAGTGCTCAAGTTGCCAGCTGCATTCAAAACTTCATCTCACTGGACACTCCACCACCAAAATTGAAAATACCTATCATTTCAAACACACATGGGCATACAATAATGGCATACTGCCATCACATCTCCTTTGCAACACATACATTAAACACAGGACTCAAAATTCAGACATATTTTGAATGAGCAACGCTTGTCTTTAGAAAGACGGCATTTGTTTGTAGTATGTACGCTCTAAAGGTAGTTATGCTGCAAAACTAAAATTAGAATTAAAAAAAATATGTTATGTTAAGTGACAGCAACATTGTTCTGATGGCTGATTATGTTCCTGTCCGCTCACCTCCTTGTGCTCTGTGTTTAGGCAGACATGCTCTGACACACTCACCAGCTTCCCTTAAACTAAGACCATTTTTACCACCTAGTATTCAACATTAACCTAAATTCCATTCAAAACTATCGGCCTCTTTGCCCGTATTCTCTCCATCCTCCCTGTAGGTCTCTCACACTTTTAACAGGCTTCCATCTTCCGCTTGTTTTTCTTACTCTGACAATATTAGACCTGTTTGTTGAGGGAGCGCAGCCGGAGTCGAGTGCTGTTGGTGAGTTTGGTTGATGCAGGTCTGCAGTGAATTGATGATATGTGATTCTGAACCTAAACTTTAGTGTTTTACCAAAGAAAGAATGTAAATAACTCATTTCGTTCGAGGCTCATCTGCTCACCCAATTTCACTCTTGCCACCACATCATCTCCGTCGTAAAGAGCCTCCACCGGCTCTATCGCTCACCACAGACACTAAGTAAAGCTCTCGTCCTCATTGAACTGTTCCACTGTCGTCCTCTAAAACCATTCTGTCTCTCTCCACCATTTAGGACCAAGAACCAGCAACAGAAATGACGAGGCTTAATTCCCCTTTCCCTCTGAAACTGTCTCCACACACATCCATGACTTCCAACAATTTTTTGTTCAAGAACTTCATTAAAGCGCCCCTTTTTTTTCCTCCCCTTTTTTAAGAAAAACAATAATTTTCTATGCAACATCCTTGTTTTAACGTTAAAAACCTTTTTAACTTATAAACTATCTTTGAAAAGTTCAAACTATCCTTGCCTTTTTCTCTTTTTGTTATTTTCTGCAAAGTGTGTCTACTGAGATGTTCTGCTATTTATAACTGTGCAAAGGAACCGACAAAGTTTTGTAATAGGTTTTATTTTTCTTTAACAGTTGGTGGTGAAGAATGTAAAAACGTCTGCTTATACAGTGTATTTTTTTTTCTTCAATAAAGTTTTATAACTAATTTGAATGAATGCATAAACTCATTGCTTAGCATCGCACAACAGTGGCCAAGCTATTATTTTATCAGTGCAGGATACAAAGTCGGGCCTGAGACTAACTAAAATCCTCCAAACACCAGAGTCAAGGCTCGACTTCATTAAAAGCTCTTGTGACCGAGAGACAGGCTTTAAACTTGATGAGCCTGTTATTACTATCAATTCATGTAAACAAAGTAGGGACTCAGATTTAGACAGTCGGAAAATATTATGCAGAATAATATTGCTGAGATAAATTGCATCTTTGTGAATCTTAAAATGCTCTTCTTCCTTTTTTTTTTTTTTTTAAACAACCTTTGAGAAATGTTTATGCACTTATGTTAATTTTTGATTTAGTCACCAAGTGCACATAGAAAACATAAAGTTGTACATTTTAAAAGCTCATCTCACTTGCATTGTTGCTTTCAGATTGACCTCAGTGTGGCTGTTGTTCCAGTGTCTTGACAATAATTGTTCACTGTAGTTATTAATCAATTTCCTTTATTGAACCAGATTTAAAAAAAAAACAAAAAACTCATTGAGATTTAAAACCTCTTTTTCAAGAGTGACCTGGCCAAGACACAAAATGGATAACAGCAAACACACCAATAGAATAGTCACAATTCCACACACTACAGAAAAACAAGAGTGGGATTACATGACTACACACTGCAGTCACAAGATCCAATTGAGCTTATTTGTCTGTCTTTTATAATTATCTTGAATTTCTCCAGAGATACAAGATGTGTCAATTTCAAGTCCTTCTGCACTTCATTCCAGGTAGACTGGGCAGAAAATTTAAATCTAAGTTATAGTTAATACCAGTTTTGGAAGAAATACGCTACTGAGATTTTGACATGTTGAGGCAAAAATGACACAATATAAACAGACTCCATTGCTGAAAGTCCTGCGTTTAAAATTCAAAGTACAAGAAAATGTCTGTGAAGAAAACACAGTGTCAGAACTAACCAGAAAGGATTTTCCCCCCTGATGTGTTCTGTTCTTACTCAACTTTCCTAGAATTGTAGTTTTTGACCTATAATATAATATAATTTAGTAACTAACGATTGTCAGTTGTAAGCGGTGGAGTTAAAAGAAGCAGCAGCTATAATCTAAAATCTCAGCACATCAGCCTTCAGCTGATCCTTTAAACCCATTTTCCGAAGATATGAATGATGATTGTGATATGATGTAATTGATTTGCCTTTGAACTGCACTCAAATTCAGTTTACTGTGTTGTTTTGTTGATGTCCCTGAAGTGCAAACAACAAAGGGCTTAATTGAGCAGTTCCAAATCCAATCAAATGTTCCACTTAATCTGCCGCCCAATAAATGGCCCTGATAATGAACACATCCAACTGTTTCTTTAAATGGTGCTGATCAAGAAGTCGATACTGAGCGCTTGAAGTGGAGCGTAACTTGATCAGTGTTCCAATCCTCATGATGCTGCTGTGGAGAGTTCCTCCTGATAGGCTAATGGGCGTCTCATCTTAACTAATTACATTCAGAGGATTTCCAAAGCCCGAAGGTGGCCATTAATCTTCCGTAGTTTACAGCTGATCAACTTCAAAACACATTTTACGCACGCATCAGTCCGTAGCAGCGTTTCGTCCGTATGCGTCAGGCGCAGTTTGCTGATGTGAAAAATAGACAAATTGAAGTGCGCATGTATTAAAATGACAGAGAACTACTGCAGGCTGAAAAAAAAAAACACTCATTTTCACTAAGACTTTTTCAGACGTTGCTAAGCAAGTAAAAAGAATAGAAAAAGGCTGCTGGTTGTAGATCTGTGCGTAACCGTTTAAAATGAGCAAAAGTAACATTTTTGGATGTCAGTACATAAAGGAAGCTGCAGTTGAAGGATAAAACGAGTTGTGTTTTTGCATAATTGAAGGGCCACTTGTCTTCAACTTGCCCCAATGAATGTTTTATAAAGCATAATAACTTGTGAGAAGTCTCCTAAAGCAGAATATTGTGTAGCCACTATGCTGCTTGTATCTATTTCACTAGTTGTGTTTTACTTTTTCAAATAGGTAGTAATAAAGAAAAATGTCATATTTGGTTTTGAAAGATTTTAAACGCTCCTAAATATAATGCGTCCTTTTCCAACCTCACACCTCAGCAATCAATCACCTCTCAATCTGTGTGAAGAGCCCGCCTATTGTTATGCTGATCGCCCCCCCCCCCAACACAGGAGATGCTCATATCTATAAGAAGTCTCTGCCCAGATGATCGACATAGTTTCTTTCTTGACATCCACTCACAAAAAGCCATTGTGAATGAAATCCGATTCTTCCCCCTTTTTTTCCCCAACTTGAAAGCGAAGGTTTTAACCGCTACATCTTAACCACAATGGTGAACATGAGGATTTGAGTTGGTGGCGCTTGGATCTGAAGCTCTGTCACGACAGGTCAGTTGCCAAAAGCGTGCAAAAAATCGCAGATTTGTGAAATGTCATCTTCTCTTTCATCTCATCCAAGCATGTACGCTTAACACCCGATAGCCACCCTGAAAGGATTTCAGCAGACTTGGAAAGACTGCCTGGCAGCTGCACCGAAGACTGGGATTTGGGTGAAGCTCGGGTTTTTTTTCTCCCCGTTATTGTGGATAACTCTTCGCTTAGAGTTTTTGCTTCTTTAGGCAGTGAATGGTTGGCAAAGTAAGCTCAGCTATTTCTTTGAAACATATGGGAGTTTCAAGAGGACGGAGATCTGGGATCACCAAGGACTGAAACGCAATCTCCCATTTTCAGTGACTCAGCGAGCCTGCTACACGACCACATATTTCAGTTTCAGGGTTACAAGATGACAATGGCATCTATCAAGCCCATCCTCAGCAAGGCTGGACATTGAAACTATGCGTGACCACTGAGCCGGACCTTGAAGATTGAATGCATGTTTGGCACGGTACCTATCCGTCTGAATCCCCACCTTGTAGCAACAGGTTACGCACCTGGCCTCCCTCAAATGCACTTATAGCGCACGGCTTTGACTTTGCTCTCCTCTCAGCACCGCGGTTTTTACACATGACTCCCACCATGGTGGAGCACAGCAGCCTGGATATTATGTGTCTGAACAAGTATTGCCACAGTTCCTCGTCGTCGTCCAGCTCCGAGCACGACAAGAAGATTTTCACCAAACTAAAACTCAATCTGTCAGGGGACTATCCGAGGAAGAACGCAGAGATCCTCAGCGGTCAGTACGGGACAAACTTGTTACTGATCGGGGCGGCGCTGATGCTGGCCATTGCGCACCATGACCCCTCTGTCAAGGAAGAGCACCTGCTGTCCTTTGCCACCTGCCTCATGATCCTCCAGCTGATCTGGATGATGTGGTACATCCTGGTGCGGGACAGGCAGAAGAACACGAGGACTGAGAAAGACGTCCACGCCACCACATGCTGGATAAGAGGTGAGATTGTGAAATTACAAATGCGTAAAATGCGCGTGTCGTTCTTTTTTCGTGTATTTGGAAATTACAGCACTTTAAGCTGTTCAAAGCCAAAATCTTTACTACATGGCTGTGGTTGAAAACTCAAAGAGAACGTGATGATTCATCTGTTTTGCCAAAGCAAATTTTGATTTAATTTCTTTCATTGGTGCAGTTAATAACTTACTCTCTGTTTCTTTTTTCCCCCTCGGTAGGTGGTTTGACTCTCCTTGCACTCCTTTCACTGATTATGGACGCTTTCCGAATCGGGTATTATGTTGGCTATCAGTCTTGTGTGTCGGCTGTGCTCGGGGTATATCCTGTCATCCATGCAACTCACACCATAGCACAGGTAAGTTTACAACCCCAGTTTAATTTCAATAAAGTGATAATCTTTCAGCAGCGTTAGAAACCGTGTCTTTTTTCCCCCCTGTGCACCACTTAAGGTCTTTGAATAATGTGCTCTTTGTTGTTAAGGCAAGTACAGAGTTGCTGCAACAATATAATCCCATCATTGTCCATGTTATTTGAGTGTAGCTAGTAAAGGGACTTAAACAGCTAAGTGTAATCAAATATGTAATAATTATATAGACTAAGCATATCATGAAGAATATGTTTTGTCAAGCTTTTGTAACTCTTGTTCTTGGGTTGTTTAGGTGCATTTTCTCTGGTTTCACATCAAGGACGTCATCAAGAGCTTTGAAACTTTTGAGAGGTATGTCATATAATGTTGCAGGCTATTGTGTTGTCATGTCATTCTGTACATCTGTATATTATAAATCAAATAAATAGGATTTTACATCAGAGCCATGAAACGTCTCACCAGAATGTGTAAAAGATGAAATCTTGCACATCAAAACAGCTACAACCTGCCTCTTCCACCTTCTGTCACACGAGCGGTTATGAGACTCGTTTTCACCTGTTTGTCTCCTCAGATTTGGTGTCATCCACGCGGTCTTTACCAACCTCCTGCTGTGGTGCAACGGTGTGATGTCAGAGGCTGAGCACTTCTTGAACAACCATAAGAGAAGACTCTCTGCTCTGGGCTATGAAAACCTCACTATAGGTAAGGGCCAAGGGGTCGATTGCTGGCTTGTACCTAGAAGAAAAGTACAATAGTCCACTTGAGAGCTCACTTCAATGGATGAAAGAAAAAGGAAAAAGAGGAGGGTTTGCGAGGGGAAGGGAGGTTAGCTCGGCCGCTCAGCGGGTCTTGTTTGTGTCGAACGTCTCTCTATTAGGTTTCAGGAGACACACAGTGTTGCTGGTGCTGAGGCCTCCCCCCCTCCTCCCCTTCCCGGCCCTTTCCCCACACTTCAGCCACCACCACCCTCCTTGGCAACCCCCCGCTTGACCTCAGACGGCTTTGTCCCCAGGCTGCTTAGTCCCAAGGGTGCTGCAATTACAGTAACTGATACATCTAAGCCTAGGGTTGGGGGGTTCGACCGCTCCTCCTCATATCCGGCTGACTGTGAGGCTGGCTGCACCCTGACTGTTGTTCGCTTTTTAATTAAAGGGTGCAGGACCATAGTGGAGGCCTTTCGGGGGTGAGGGGTAGGAGGAGGGGGGGGGGGGGCACACGGCGGGGGTTTCGTTGAGATGATCTCTCTGGAGGGCAGCAGCATAACCATGGTGTGCTGTGGTGGACTTTAGAAGGAGGGAGTTAGTATAAGAAGCGCATTCAAAGTGTAAGACGGATCTCTGTTCGGCTAATGGATGAAATAAAAAAATTAATAGAATATGACTAATGAATGTTGATCACCGGGCGGAAATCTAGAACGTTATATTGGAGTTTTGTACTCTATTAAATAAATACTACCTTCATTTATTTATTTTTTAAAAAAAGAAGAAAAAAACATTTTATGGGTAGCTTTCATCAAAATCATTCAGAGGCTTCCTGAAATAAAAAAAAATATGTGCATCACAAATCAAAAAATATTTAAAATGAAGTCAAACAGTGAAGTAGCTAAGAGATATTACCCAAAAATCAGAGGTGGAATCTTTCACTTTGGATTTGGTCTGGTTCTCAACCGGAGGGTCAGGGCCTCCTGAAATGACCACAAGATAAATGTTGAGGTCTGACAAGATGAACAATGAACAAGATAAAAAATCTGAAAAATAGCAACACATTTCTCCTAAACAAGATTAGATTTTGTTTATCTGTGTGATTCTTTTTCTTGTGAATTACTGGGTAGCTGTCATGTCAGCATGTCACAATTAGTAGATGTATACTTTAAAAAGGGGTTATGTGTATACATGGCTTCAACACAAGCCCAAATGTTGGGACTTTCTACCTTAGTGCGTAGATATGTGGGTGTCTGATGTTCATTGCATTAAAGCAGATACCCAGATGTGATGTATAACTGTATAAATTAGATTCCATTGTAGGAAAAGGATGTCAAACACACAACAAATCTGATTTGCATTTCTAAAATGTTCCTCTGAAGCATTGCTGAAACAATTAAAACAATCATTTGATGAGATTAGTAAAATATGAGTACGTAGAATTTTGCCTAATTTTAATAAAAAACATCTATATATTGTAGTTAAAAATCTGATCAGATGAACAAACACAGCTTTTTTCCCCATTCAGTCAGTCTGGTCAGCACTGTCTCTCTGCAAAGTCTTCGACCTGTGCACTTAGTAGGGACATGCTGGATGTTGAGCCTTTTCTTTTTTTTAAACTTATGTAAAAGTCTATTAAATAGTTACAGTTTATTTTATTCTATTTTATTCTGATGTTGAATCTAATATTTATCTCACTCTTCCTGCTACTAATCTGCCCTGACAGATGGGTTGATTTTGTTGTCTTAAAAACAGACAGTGTTAATATACAGCTCTAGAACAGTTTTCTTGTTTCATTTGTCATGTATCTTCTATTTTTTTCACTTGTTTTCCAGAGCACTCAGAGCCAGACTGTAACTGCACCACCAGCACATGCTCCATGTTCTCCAGCAGCCTCTACTATCTCTACCCCTTCAACATCGAGTACCACATCTTTGTCTCTGCCTTGCTTTTCGTAATGTGGAAGAACATTGGGCGCACCATTGACCTCTCTTCAAACCGGAAAAGGCTGGTTACCAAAACCCAGGGCTTGACCTTAGGCCCCATTCTGGGTCTACTTGCACTTGCCAGCACCATCGGGATACTGGTGGTCTACATTACCCATGTAGAGGGGTCCCTCCGAATGCGTCAGTCAGCCATTTCCATGTTCTACATCTACGGCATCGTCATGCTGGTGGTCATGTGCTTTGCCGGCGCTTCAGGTCTACTCATATACCGAGCGAACCACATGCCTCTGGACACCTCCAAGAATCCGTCAAGACAACTGGACACAGAGCTGCTGTTTGGATCCTCAATAGGCTCCTGGTTCATGTCTTGGTGCAGCGTAGTGGCTGTGTTAAGCACCACCAGCAGCCCTCCGTACCGCTGGACCAACCTAATCTACTCTCTGCTTATTGTTTTGGAGAAGTACGTCCAGAACCTCTTCATCATAGAGTCCCTGTATCGCCAGCAAGAGACCGGAGAGAGGGAGGACCCAGAGTTACCCGCTGCTCCAGAAATCTTCTCAGTCACCTCTTCTCTGGCTCCGCCATACAACGGCATCATCAACCGAGCTTACGAGACTCCGGACAGGACCTGTGTCACCATGGAAAACGAGCAGGAGGAGAGCGGACAGGTGTACCGGTGTCCACGGAAACATTCTGAGGTGCCGCTGCCGGTGGGAACCAAAGTAGTGGAGCCGCCAAATATAAAGAGGCAGATCCTAAAGAACATCGCTGTTTTACTGATAATGTGCAACATTTCGGTGAGCATTTGCTTTTGGTAAACAAACAGTTACAGATGATTCAAAGTGATATTAAACTTGAATGCAATGGGAAATACTCAAATAATAGAATCCCAATCTGAATGACCCTTTCAAAGTAAGAGCTCATATTCTTGCACATTTTTTCATCCAAACCTACATTTTTTGTCACAAGCAGGAATTGCAGATATATATTTTTTTACAGTCATGTAATATGTTTTTGTGTATTAACAAGTGGTAAAATAACTGTAAAAAAAAGTTATGAACCCATAGAGAATTTTCATGCAAGTCAGCAGTTCCCCTCAGTGCTACGGCTCTTCCTTTTTTTTTCTTTTTTTTTTTGACCCACATTTTTACTGTTTTGGTTTGAACTTATCAGTAGTTTCCAGAAACCGCTGGCAGCTGTTTCCAGTAACAGAACTCTACAATTCCATTCAAGACTCAGTGCCCAGTATCGAACGAAACACAGGCCAAGTTAGTAACTAGCTCGGGAACAATGTGGAGTATTTAGTCACAATAGAACCAGATCTTTTCCTCAGGAAGTGATGGAAACCAAAACAGAGCTAAAAGGAAAGTTAATATTAGACTTGCAATGCAATTCCATGAACGCTAATGTCTACTGAACTTCAAAAGGTGATTCAATGTCAATGTTGTGCTTGTAGTCTGTTGTGCTGCCCCCGTGTGGCCAAAAATCAATGAGTTGAGGTTTAATTAATTAAATTTCTTCTTTCCCCCCTCTTCTTTCAGCTGTGGATCCTTCCTGCTTTTGGCTGCAGGCCACAGTACGACAACGGTCTGGAACAGGAGACGTTTGGCTTCAGCATATGGACCACAGTTCTCAATTTCGCCATTCCTTTGAACCTTTTCTACCGCATGCACTCAGTCGCCTCCCTCTTCGAGGTGTTCCGCCGAGTCTAACAGAAAAGCAGATGATTGACAATGCCAGATAACATGCACAGGAACACTTGTCACCACCAGCTTCCGAGAGTGTCTCACAGCGCAGGTCAACCGTTCAGGAGGCAGTCTGGGTCACACTCCAACAGACTTGAAAGCAAGCCGTGGAGACAAACAAAACGTAGGTCCCTCGGTGCAGGGATTACAGAGGAAGACGAACCTATTAGCCTGCGTTCCTTGAAGAATTGCCTTGTTTAACGTGAGGCTTATTAAAGATGGTGATGAAAAGAATCTGCCGTTTCCTGAATTTAGAAAGGGTCCTTTGTGCTTTTTTGTAATCACATTTCAGTAGGTTTTTTTTTTTTTTTTTCCAAGTGGGGGATCATGTACAATATAGACCTATATGCTTTATCTGAGATGCACATTTTGTACTGTTTTATATTAATGAAAATATGAAAATATATAATAGACTACTGACTTGATTATCATATCTGAAAATACTACAGTGAAGCCACTGAAACACCTGTTAGTCTCAATATCTAATACGTTAATAGTACTGTATTTAACAGAGCCGCAAGTGCATCGGTGTAACACTTGACCTGTATTTGATCTGTAATTGAAATGTGCATATGGATGAGGTTCTCATTTACGTCTCTTAGTGGTTCAACTAGTTTAGCGGAACAGTATGCGGCACCTGAGCTACGAGACTAGTGAAAATCTAACCACTGTATGTTAAATCATTTTTATGAGTTGGACTTTAGTTCTCAGAAGTAGCGCCTGACTCTCAGTCATTCAAGGTTCATCAGTGTCCTTTTGCATGCAAAGTCTCTGTTCTGTTGAACCCATGCAAAGTTCTGTTTATGTTGAGAAGCACAAGATGAGATGAGAAGTGTTTCCCTTCTTGACCCCGATGACATTAAATTCTTGTATGTTAACGTACTCATGTAACAGGACAGTTACACCCAGATTGTTACGCCCATATAAAATATGTTGGTAAAAAAAACAACACACACATTGCTGCGATGACAACTGAAACAGAGACTGATGTTTACAACTGAAGAACCAGCAATAAAAAACACTGCAGTCTGTGGCAACACTTGTTTCTTTATTATATAAAGCACAGATAGATAGTCGTACTGTATGAGTTTATATCAAATCAATGTGTAACTTCAGTCAGACATCCTGCAGGTTCTCAACCTGGTGCTATCCTCTGTATGTGTTCTCAATATGTGCCAAGTGTGTGGTAACATCTTTGTTTTTTTTTGTTTTTTTTGCAGATTGCAATTTTACTACCATCTTTGTAAATATTGATCAAAATCATTCAGACACTGTGATATGATTTTGTGAAATTCCAATGAAATGGTGCTGAAAAGAAATGATGTGTACAATAGTGATGAATGTGTATCATATCATTCTGCCTATTGAAATAAAGAATAGTTTTGGTTTTTTGTTTGTTTGTTTGTTTTCATGTACAAGAGGTGTCACCTCTCCATCTGCTCCTGTGTTACCTGCTGGGGTCTCCAGGCTCCAGGCTGTCAGTGTACTAGAGCTTTGCACCACCGGATGGCGCCACCTATTTATAATTTTAAGGCTTTGTTTAAATCAAAAGCTCCTGCATTGATGCGCTTCAACTAAATGATTGTATCATAGTTTCTTCTTAAATACCTGTTTCCTTAAAAAAATAAAATAAAAAGAGAGAAAATTGGGATGTTGTTAAGTTTTAAGTAATACAAAACAATAACAACAAAAACAACAATAACAACGTATTTTGCTCATTGTCTGTTCATATAGGCATCATCTATTATCTAATAATTCACCAACTGTGTTGACATCTGTATGCAAAGAAGAAAATGTTGAACCGGACACAGGTTGCCTCCTGACCTGACATCCACAGATTATGGGTTAGGCTACTCCAGAGAATTTGGCGCCGGGCGTCTGGAGATTATTTTAACGTAGTGTCAGAACGATTTGACAGGCACGCAGACACATCTAAAAATATCCGTGACGTTTCAAAGCCGGTAACGGCGCTGCTGCTGCTGCTGCACACGACGACGCAGAGCGCACGGAGCTCCTGGCTGAATGTGCCCGCTGAGAGTGTGAATGTGACTCACCTGTTCACACAACTCTGAAAAGTGGGTGAGCTCTGACTTTCAGTCGGTGGTCGTTAACGGACAAACAGTCACCTGTGCTCGATGGTGACCAGCGCCCCCCCCCCCCTGTCATAACAGCATCGAGGAGAAGGATTTATAAAGTAATCTGTAGTTTAAAATTTCAGCCTGGAGATGCGTTAGGAGAGTTTTGGTTTTGTAGATTTTGGTGCTAGTAATAAAAGTATGAATCAAAGCTGGGTTCATTCATGCTTCACAGATAGGTAGGTAGATAGGTAGAATGCCCCTGGCTGTTTGCCTTTTCAGCACCATGGACAGCTCTATAGGATCTACTACTGTAGGCTGCATGTGAGCCTCAGTTCTGTTTACCTCCGCTGCCCTGGGTGTGTCTACCCATATGTAAAAAAGGTTTTTAATGCACGCTGTGGTTGTTTGATACAGTTAAAAACACACCACATTGTCGCTCTGGCCACTGCGTAACGTATTATGTCAAGTACAGAGAAACACCACTCCAGGAAATAAAAATATTCCACAGCTGGAGGAATCCTCCCGAATGATTTGGAGTTTGTAATTACGCACTTTGGAGAATCCACCAACGAAAACCCTCAAATAGTCGAAAGCTTCCTCACACCTCTTTCCTAACGGAGTGCACTGCCGTGCGTAACACCACGCACAAAGAAGGCGTGATGGTGTATGCGCCCAGCCCTGGTTAAGTTAGTGTATTAGGCTGTAGGGACTCCCTGCTCAAGCCACACTGCGCTCTGGATACCTTGGACTGAGACATTCACAGAGGCAGCCGGGTCAGACGACCGGACCGGCAAGGTTGCAACATGCGCTCGCCACTGCGTGCTGCGTTTCAGACCCTCAGCGCACCTAGCACATCGCTCGGCTCAGTTTTTAAGCGCTCAATTCTCTCTTCCCGTCTGTTTTGCATTCCACATCAGGCTGGCAGCCGAGCGGGTCATTGGGGACAATACGGTGACTGGCTGATAACCGAGCCCGTCTCCGGGCAAGTAGCTATGGACTGCAGTTTTACTTGAAGACGCAAATGGAGAATCCAGCAAAGTACCTCTCATCGGTGCAGGGGATCGACTCTGTGCCGGCACCCATCGGAGAGATTATGTGGAACCGCACCGAAACGGAGGCAACAAGCGACGGGAGGAAGGATATGGTTTTGCGCACGGTGACGGGCTGTCTGCTGTCCCTGCTCATCCTATGGACCCTGCTGGGGAACATCTTGGTCTGCTCTGCGGTGCTGCGCTTTCGGCACCTGCGGACCAAAGTTACCAACATTTTCATCGTCTCCCTGGCTCTCTCGGATTTATTTGTGGCTGTCCTGGTCATGCCCTGGAAAGCTGTGGCAGAGGTGGCTGGCTATTGGCCGTTTGGCACTTTCTGCAACGTGTGGGTCGCTTTTGACATCATGTGTTCCACTGCCTCCATCCTCAACCTCTGCATTATCAGTGTGGATAGATACTGGGCCATCTCGAGCCCCTTCCGCTACGAGAGGAAAATGACCCAGCGAGTTGCCTTTGTTATGATTAGCATCACTTGGACGTTGTCTGTACTCATTTCATTCATACCGGTCCAGCTGAACTGGCACAAAGCCAGCGCTGACGACCTGGCTGGGGCGCACAACTCCTCAACAACTAGGCAGATAGAGGAAAACTGCGACTCCAGCCTGAGCAGAGAGTATGCTATATCCTCCTCATTGATAAGTTTCTATATACCCGTGGCAATTATGATTGTAACATACACCAGAATTTATCGGATTGCACAAATACAAATTAGAAGAATTGCCTCCCTGGAGAGAGCGGCAGAACACGCGCAAAGTTGTAGGACCAACAGAATAGAGTGCCAACACCACAACACCTTGAAAACGTCGATTAAACGGGAAACAAAAGTGTTCAAAACTCTGTCGGTGATTATGGGTGTCTTTGTGTGTTGCTGGTTACCTTTCTTCGTTCTGAACTGCATGGTGCCGTTCTGCGACAGGCCGGCCACAGACCGGGACGCAGGTCTGCCGTGCGTAAGCGAGACGACTTTCGACGTTTTTGTGTGGTTCGGCTGGACCAACTCCTCCTTAAATCCCATAATTTACGCATTCAACGCCGAGTTTAGGAAGGCCTTCGCCAGCCTCTTGGGCTGTCGTTATTTCTGCTCCAACACACCAGTGGAAACTGTTAACATCAGCAACGAGCTGGTCTCATATAACCAAGATACCCTCATCCACAAGGAAATAGCGAACGCTTATGTCAACATGATCCCCAACGTGGTTGAATGTATTGAGCATGAGGAGACTTTTGACAGGATTTCGCAGTTCTCTCATAACAATGAAAACGCCACCGACTCGGTTTGTGACTTGGAGGACTGCGAGGCAGACATCAGTCTTGATAGGATGTCACCATTCACTCCCAATGGATTACACTGACTCCACACTTTGTGTCTCCCCGTGCGTAATTGGATGTATTGATGATATTGTCACCGTTTATTCAGCTCCTGTGCACCGGAGGCTCCTCTCCACAGGGAGCCCACAGGTCAAGGTTCTCTGCACTACTGAGCAGCAGCCCTGGCAGCTGGTGAGGGAGTCCAGTGACTCTCTCATGGACACTTCAGCAGGGCACATGTCTCTGTAGCCACAAGGCCCCCCTGCCACCACTTTGCGTCATATATCAGATGTGATGTTGTTGTCCTGTTCTGAAAAAAGTGACGTGTAGGTGTTTATTTACATGACAAGTGAAGTCTGTGTACCTTTGTTCAAAGGTTCGGTGTTGGTGAAGCTGTCGTTTACTCAAAGGCTTTACTTGGAGCATCAGTGTCTAATGTTCATCCACTTGGAGGGAAAATGTTTGTAAAAAGTCGCTGAGGATTCATATAGGAAACTTTTTGCTGCTTAATAACCTCGTGTATCCAGTGGCCGCCTTTCCACTGAGTATGAAAACTGAGGGCAGCCTTACAGACAGTGCAACCAAGATAGTCAAATGCAGTCATTTTAGCGCCTTATAGCTTAATCAAAGAAGAGTTTTGAGACATGAAAGGAATGTGTTGTATGGAGTTTAAGTTACATGATGCCAAAATGCAGTATTAAAGTGTTTCGCCACTGCACCCACCCCAGTGACTCCTCCAGCACACCTGCTCTGCTTCACATGGACCATTATGCAGCTAGATTCAGATTTAGGCAGCCTCTGGCTTTGATAGAGTTAAACATGGTGCAGCAGCACTAAATCAAACAGTGCACGTACAAAAAGTGAGCCTGTGTCTACTGGCATCACTCACACACATCAGAAAATTGTGACTAAAATCAGTCGACATTTTAACAATTAAAACCGTTGCTCTTTTCTGCATTCTTTTATTTCTCATTGAGGCCAAAAGTACCGTGATGGTTCTGCTTTATCAGCCACAGTTGACTCTTGAAATGACAAAAAAAAAAAAAAGAGAGATATTCAAGACTTTCCTAAACGACCAAAGACTTCAAGGAGTGAATCAATAATTCAGACACAATGAGGCTGCAATGTTTTGTAAGCTAGAGGAATCGTTGCTATAGAAAGCCTGCACACATGTGAGGCCACTGGGCCAGCACAACTGGATGTCATGCATCATCTCTCCCATATCTCGCTTATCTTTGTACTGTACAGATGACCTGATCTGAATGTATACTATGTCCTTTAAACAGTGAAGTGTGTCATCATTTGTCTAATAAAATGCTGTCATGCTACGACGACCACAGTGCACTGGTATGTTCCTGAGCTGAGATTAGTATTCAGGGCTTTCACAAATGCACAAACTTAGCATACTGGTGAATTTTACACCTTTAACTGAATTATTAATCTCAATTTTAAATGACTTCCTGATGCATATCCACCTCTGACCTGATCTTTTAAAATATTTCTTATTTTGACACTTTACCCGCTTTGGACATTTTGACAGCAGGGAGTGAAAATGTTGGCACAGAGACAGAAAGTGAGGGGGATGACATGCACCAGAGGTCCCCAGTGGAGCAAAGACTGGGGGACAGTGTGGTATCTTACTGACTGCTGTTCCTCCAGGACACTTCCTTAGTTCGACCTCTCCTCCACAGGTTCCCCACAGCTGATATATTTCCTCTGGCTGACGCAGAGAGGTTTGAATCCTGCAGATAAGAGTGGCACAGTTGTTTCAGTAAAGTTTTTTTTTTTTTTAAAGGGCAAACATGGGCAGCAAAGCACACCCTGAAGAAGTAGCTGTGTCGGTTGTTGGCCAGTATTTGTTTTTATTTTCTTTGAACCAGTATCAATACTTTGAGAGAAAACCCACAAATGCTGAAAGCCAGTGAAATAATGCAATACCTCAGGAGCAGTTGAAGTGCCAACAGCATCTGCTACATCTGTAGAAAAACACAAAACCCATTGTGTATAAATTCCTTCACTGTTTCATCACCATGTCTTGTGATTTGATGGACAGAATATGCTTTTATTTGTTTTTTAACATGTTAATGAATGCATTTATTTGAACTCACGTGGTCTAATGCAACCATTTGTCTGAAGTTAACCTCTGAATTCTTGGTACGTCACCCTCTGGTTAGCAGCTTTTTAAAAAGGCCTAGATGAGTGACATGTGTTGACAAATTAATGAAGAAGGCAGGGTTAACAACTTAATCCCTGCCTGGGAGCAAGGAGATGTAAATTACAGTTGTATTGAGCAAAGGAAGTCTGTGCCAATTATTTTAGACATCCCACTCATCTATATTAAGTCTGCATGTAATAAAAGTTTTTTGTTTTTTTTAAACAAAACTTTGTTTTCCTCAGGTTTGCGCATTATGTTTATCTGTTTGCTGTCATTTACCTGATAGATGCAGACTGTGGTGGAAGAATTACTGACAGTCTGTACCGAAAAGGGGGACTCCATCAATTTTACACATCAAAGTCTGTTTATATACCCTGATAAGTAGCTCCCTGCCGCACATAAAATATAAAGTCGCAGCCCCCTTTGTAGCTCCAGAGGGAGCTGCTTAAAATCGACATAAAATCTGCTTCTGCCTGTGATGTCAGTTGAAGATTATGAGTCTGCTAAGTAAATAAATAAAAACACTACATTAAATCATAGACTAAACTGACAGACGTCAAGCTGCACTGCAGTTTGGACTTTGATGTTGTGCAATGGTAGATCTGTGGATTATTTTGAGTTAAAGTAACAGTGCAAGAATGTAAAAATATTCCTGCATTTAATATCCCAGGTAAGTTAAAGCACATAAATGTAAGCAGCTAAATGTGCTTGAAGTAGGAAGGTGAACATTCTGCAGAAAAATGTCCCCTGCTAATAATTCGTACATTTTTAAATCATTTACAGCGATGCATCAGGACATTACCGGCATTTTACTATTGCGGCTTTTCAAGTGGAGCTAATTTTGCCTCCTTTGTTTTGTTATTAAAGCTACTGTGTTGTGTCATTTGCTGCTGAGTTCAAAATCATTTCAATGTTTAATACGGTGAGCAGCATCATATTTGCCTCTAAAAAGGAGTGAATTATAAAGTAGCATCAAAACTGTATATGATTCAAATAGTTAGAATTATCAAGGATGCATTTGTTGTTAAATGGAATCCATTCAACTGCTTTATATAATGTTCGATGATGTAATCTTTCGTACTGCATTGTGCTTTCTGAGTTGATTAGAAGTTTTATATATAGAATTTGCAACGTATTGTTATCACATCAATGTTTTGAAGGATAGAGTGCAAGAGAATGAGTATGAAGTAGCATAAAATGGAAACACATGCACGTTCATTAAAGACATATTCGACGATATTGAATTCATGTTTTAAAAGATGCTGAAAATATCAGGAAGATCTTTCTACTTAACTCAGGTATTGCAATTGAGTGAGATAAACGTAATCTAGAAAGAGTCATGTAAATGGGCTGTGACTCTAAATGACACCGCTGTTCTCCTGCAAAGTGTCTCCGCGGACACATTTTTCAAAAATGAAGGCATTCTGTCATTTTTCCTCATCACACGCAGGATTCACACAGCTGCCAGGGGAAATAGATTAAATGATTCCAAGAAGAAAGCCTGTTAACTGATGCCTACAGGCTGTGCTTCAGGGTTTTTCACCTCCCGCCTCCGTCCTGTTGCTGATCGGTGTTTACCCCCGAGGGATGAAAGATGGGAGAGGACAGGAGGGGGACCGGACGGCGGATCAAGTTGCGTCGGTCAGACTTGAAACGTAGACGACATCTCTGCTACAACTCGTCAGACCGTGATTAAACTCGAGATCGCAGATAGCATCCGGTGCAATCGGGGTCAGACTTGAGGGACTGGTGCACTTTGACACTGCATTTTTAAAACACAGAGCTCATATTGAAGGTGTAATTAAAGGAAGTGGTCATCATTTCACATTTTGAAGGCCAATGCTTCCGTATGCAGCTGCTGCAAATCTACTTCAGACGAATCTGGAATGTTGATGTGAAATATTTGCATTTTCTACATTTTGCTATGATGTTTTTTTTTTTTCTCTCCATTTCTTGTTTTTCAGCGATCGCTGAGTAAATGAGTGAAAAATAGGAAAACAGCAGCATTCCCAGAGGATGAGGGGTTTACTCGTTCTCTGTGTTGTGTCCTTGCACCGCGGAACAGATCTGAAAGGTGGTTTGACCTCGATATTCAGCTATGACAAGGGAGCCGAAGAGGAAGTGGAGGCAGGCTTAGGGGGGTTACACCATCCGTCAAGACACATTCATCAAAATCACTCTTTCCATCTGCACACACACACACACACATACACAGGCGCACAACACACACATTCAACATATATATGCACCACTGTTGAACGCACATTTTTTTCCTGTCACGATCTCCCCTCAGTTCTCAGCACGCTTCCTTCCTTCTTTATCTTCAAAAAATTCAGTCATCCAAAAAAAAAAAAGAAGGAAAGAAAGAAAAAAAAAGAGCAGGAGTCAGTTAAACTCTCTGTTTCCTTCACCTTTTCAAACTGGTCTCTCTCACTGAGCACATCGAGTGTTAAAATACGACCTTTTCACAACATGTTTGTAGCTTCTCCTCTATTTTCTGGGTTACCAGGGCGATGAGTCTCTCTCTAACTAGTTTATGAAAAGGGGGACAGTTGGAAAACAGTGCAATAAATAACAGAGATATGTTAATTAGAAACTATTTATTTATGATACATAAGGAATGAATGTAATTAAGAATGTAGTATATAACAGCGTAACGTTTTGGAGAAAAGCTCACATAAACCTATCAAACCTCATCTCAATGTCTGCTGCACAAACTGTTGCTGTTTAGTTCTTCACTCACTTAAATAAGGATAATCTGCTTATTTTGCTCTAAATTCTGTCTAAGTTGGAATTTTTTTCTATCTAAAACACACGATTGAGTATGAAAAACTTTGCCTCCCTATAATATTTAACTGTTAAAACTCACTTAACTGGGAGAATACAGTA